AAAACAAATCATAATTTGGAATGCAGTGGGTGGTTAGACCAATGAAAACGAGATTGACAAGACAATCCATCGCCTGCCCACGTCGGCGTGCCTGGGAATGAGGCAGCTGACGGAAACGCGAGGCTGCAGGTGAGGTGGAGGTGCATCCACGCGCACATTCTTATATTCAACGCCTTGCTGGCATTGAATTTCTCATTTGTACTGGAGCATCATCAGGCGTACGGGACACGAGTTCTTGCTTCAACTGGAAAGAAGCGCCTGCATAGCCATTACGATACTAGTTAGGCTACAACAGGTTAATAGAACTTTGATTGGTTGATTGATTGAAGACGATCCATCGCAAATGATACTTATACTAGGAGTTAAGAAGAACAGCAAGAGTATACACGTGGACAGATGCAACACAAAAAGTAGATGATAGATCGAGAAAGAAATGATGAAAGGTGAAAAAAGTCATGAATATCCGCTTTCTCTGGGGAGAAGATGGTCTGTATGAAGCCTTTCCCTCTCTAATCCTCGTCCATGTCAAGATCAATGGCATCGGGGTTGGCAGTCGCGGCAGCGGGCGCTTTGTCTGCGGGAGGAGGCCGGTTACCACCCTCTGGACCGCTGCTGGCGGCAACGAATCCAACAGGGGCGCGAGCTTGGCGTTCCAACTCGGCCATGGCATCTGCGCGATCTTGGCCCTCTCCACTCTGTTCGCCTTCTTGGGGCTGTTGGCTTCTCGCAATAGCCTGGGATGCAATGAAGTTGACATCGGTACTGCAGGAAAGGGGTTAGCGAATGATGCAATTGTGCAGATGGGTTGAATATCACATACTTGTATTGAGCCTGGACACTTCTCTTGATGCGAAGCATCTCCTTGAAAGTATCTTCGTTTCCGTGCTGAACTTCGAAGGCCTCCCACTTCTGCCAGAAGGGAGCGTTTGTCCGGGGATCGCAGAATTGAGATGCGTGGCCGTAGATAGCGCGGGCACGATCGATCTCGCCAAGTCGTCGCTCCATCTCGGCGAACTTGAGACACATTTCCTTCGCCTCTTGGTCGGGCAAGGCGGCGATGGCGCGCTCGTAGATGGGTCTTGCGGATGTGAGACCAAAGTTTGAAGCTGACTTCGTGATGTAGAATTCGAACATCTCGAATCGGTCCTCGTCGGAGACTGCCCGCGTTGCGCGCTCGTAGATGCGCATGGCGTGTCGCGCAAGACCACGCTCTTCTTCCAAGTTTCCGTACATCAGGTAAAGGGACTTGGCGAACTTGGGCGGGCATTCTTCCAAGGCTTGCTCGAACAAATCTCGGAGACGCTCAATGCCGATCTTGCGGTCCACGGCCTTGGTCAAGTACATGTTCCACAGCTCAAAGGCAACTGGATACATGAAAAGATCGAGGCCGCGCTCGTATACCTTGAAGGAATCTTCGAAGTACTTATTTTCCTCCAAAAGATTGGCATAGTTAACGACAGTTTGGGGTGTCGCGATGCGAAGCTCGAAGATCCGCTCGTAGACCTTTTTGGTTTCTTCTAGAGAAGAAACACTCTCGACGAGATCGACATAGAAACTCCACAATTTCCAGCTCTTGTGGATTCTTTGCTGTGGAGACAAGTTCTCGTCAAAGTAGTCCACGGTGGACTTTTTGGGTGCCTGTGTCGCCTTCGCCATGATGCTAACTGCCTTGTCGAAGTTCTCGGCACGGAGCTCCATTTCGGCCCATTCGCACCAAGTCTCCGCCAACTCAGCCACGGACTTGAAGGGGACCTTGACAGCCTTGTCGAAGATGACTCTGGCAGTGTCCAAGTCTCCGCCATTCTCGTAGAGCTTGGCATAGTTGACCCAAAGCTCAGAGAACTTTCCATGGGCTTTCTTGGGACTGATTGCTGCAATGGCATTTGTGTAGGTCTGAACAGCTTCTTGCTTGTTATCGCCCCAAAGTGCCACCCTCTTCTCCCATTCAATGACGTTGTGAGGGTTCTGTCGTAACAGCACATCATTCACCAGGAATGGTCTGCGATCCATCAGCTGCTCGAAACGCATCATGCGAAGGTCAAGATCAAAGTCGGCTTCTTCGTCGAGTTTGCCCTTTTCAGACCGAACCGCTGCACCTTCCATCAAGTTGCCGATGATAGACTCCTCGAATTCGACATAAGAGTCAAAGATAAGAGTGAAATCACGAACAGTCATGACAGTAGTAATTCCCTCCTCGAAGACATCCCGCGCCTTCTCGAAGTTGCCCTTGGTGATCCAGTATGTGGCGAGACCGGCCCATAGCTTGCCTCTCTGGTCTGCGAAGCGTTCAACACCACTCCGGAGAATGGCATCGACATCGATTCCGACCTGTGGGCCAGTTTCGATTTTCTTAGCCTTGGAAACAAGCAAGTCGACCATCTCCGTCCATAGCTGGAACGGACTCTTGCCATTCTTGGACTGGAATCGTGGGTTGTCAAGGATCTCCATGAACTTTTTCACGGCTTCCGTATATTCGCCCATCTCAACGAGCAGCTCAATGTACTCTTCAGCATTCTCTGGGTGAATTTGCATGTACCGCGCAAAGATTTTGACGGCGGTTTGGCCAGAAGCAGACCGAGCGAAGCCCTTGTAAAGCCTCCAAATTCGGTTGTGCTGGGTGACTGGCAAAGCACGCAAGGAACGGTCGAAGGTTCGTCGAGTCTGGGTGATAAGAGGTTGTTGGAGTAGGAAGGAGAGGTACATTTCCCAGATGCGCGGCATCTTGTTGAGCAGGATCAAAGCTCTTTCGAAGAGGGCATTCACTTTCTGGTATTCGGCGCGATATACCGTGGGGTTGCGCCCCTTCAAGTGTTTCGTGCGGAACTCAAGATACTATCAAAGTCAATAATTAGTGCCCAAAAAAGTATGAGTATCGTCGGGCTCACCATCTTCCAGAGCTTGTATGACCGCGGTAGCTGTCTACAAGCACGCTCCATGATCTGAGAAGGCATTTGTATTAGTATAGTCCATCGTAGGGCGGTCGTGGTGAGCGGCGACGTACAAATGCTTGCTCATAGAGCGTGCCATTTTGCTGCTTGAATTCGATGTAGGCGAGCCATGGCTTGACGCTGCCGGCGTCGCGAAGCAAATCTTGTTCGTAAACGATATCCTGGTCGGCCTGCTCGAGCAAAGAAGGTCAGCATCGCTCCAATAGTCCAATGGGTCAAAATTACAATCAAATAGAGGTCCGGCCGGGCCGCAGACGGTCGATCCATCTCTGCGTGCTGCCGGTGCGATCTCGGGGGCAACAGAGTCCCTGGCATTGCGCCACTCAGTCGAGCGGGATCCAATTACACGGTCTCAACGTGTCAGCATAGAGGTAGGGCGCATGAATAGGAGGCTGCTTGCTTTGCGCGTCTGGATGGAAAACCATTGAGACGGATGTAGTCGTATGCCAGTCACGTGGAGTGTCTGTATCTGGCGGGCGGTGAAGCTCTTTATCAGCGTCATATCAAGGTGGCCGCATTATGCCAGCCGAACAACAAGGTCTCTATTGTGCTTTGTGCTGAGATACAGTCATGTCGGGTGCCGTAGTAAGTCTACATGGGATTGAAGCTTTCAATCATTCTATCTGACAGTTCTCTAGGGCCGAGAGGCAGTATTCCCGACTCGCCAGTCACTGGGGTTGATGAAGAGCAAGCTGAAAGGGGCGGAGATTGGACATAGCTTGCTGAAGAGAAAGAGTGAAGCTTTAACAAAGTGCGTGATGTCTGTTCTTCCTGTCCGTCTGGCTGTATACTGACCGTCGATCTCTTTGAACAGACGTTTCCGAGGTATGCGGTACCGACACATTCCCGTTCCCCCGCCTTACATAGACGCTAATAATCCTTCACAGAAATCACACGACGCATCGATGAGGCCAAGCAAAAGATGGGCCGGGTCATGCAAATTGCAGCCTTCTCCCTCGCTGAAGTGAGCTACGCCGTTGGAGGCGATATTGGATACCAGATCCAGGAGTCAGCCAAGCAGGCCCGTTTCCGCGTGCGAGCGAAGCACGAGAACGTCTCCGGTGTCTTCCTGCCGCAATTCGAAAGCTATACACAGGAGGGTGTCAATGACTTTGGTCTGACCGGTCTGGGCAAGGGTGGGCAGCAGATCCAGCGCTGCCGGGAGACATATGCACGGGCTGTGGAGACGTTGGTGGAACTGGCAAGTTTACAGGTATGGATGGGACTATGCGATAGACCGGGGTATCGCTCACTAATTGCGACAGACTGCCTTCTTGATTCTGGATGAGGTTATCAAGGTTGTCAACCGACGAGGTAAGTTACATGCCTATGAACCGTCACGGCTTATAGACTAATAATTCTCCTATAGTAAATGCGATGTAAGATCCGAATCATTTTAGGTTCAAGTTGGCCTGCTGTTTGATACTAATCTATCACAGCGAGCATGTTATCATTCCCCGAACTGAGAATACCATCAAATGTTTGTGCCATCTACTTCGCTTGGAATTCACTGGCTAACTTCCAAAGACATCAACTCCGAACTCGACGAATTGGACCGTGAAGAGTTCTATCGTCTCAAGAAGGTCTCGAACAAGAAGCAGAGGGACGTCGCTGCTGCAGATGCAGAGATCCTTGCAGCTCGTGAAAAGGCAGCGGCGCAGCAGGCAACAAACCCGGAAAAGAATTCCACGGTTCAAGTAGAGGAAGAGACGACGGATGTTCTAGGAGAGCAGGAAGACAACGATGTCATTTTCTAGGCCCTGGGCTTCCTTCTATTGTGCTTCTTACAGATACTCTTTCCTCGTTGGCTTCCATCTTTTTCAGCAGTGACATGCACTGCTTTGTACGCTCATACTCTTTAGCCCTCTGGCTTCCTGTTCATCTACTTAGGAAGTATTGAATTCCATGTGATACACAACCTTGATGCATTGCGACAGCAAGAGAGTCGGGTTAATGCTCTCCGTATTCCTAATACACACGTTTAAGACGAGACCTTCCAAACGCCAAAAAGAACGAGACAGGGATATTTTGTATGATGCAACATGCCAGCGACTATTGACGCTGGTAAGTGACGCGAATCGGCTTGCCCTGCTCGCCCATGGGCATGCCAGACGTAGCCTCCTTCGCGCTGATTGCTCCTGCCTCGGTCTCGTACTCGACGAAAGCAATTCCCTTTCGGCCGGGCACCATTCTGACTTCCTGGAATCCTTCGAAACGACCAAAGACAGCAGACAGGCCCTCCTCGCTCGCCTCGTCGGGCAACTCCCGCAAGAACAGAATCTTGTTGGGTGGTAGGTACTCGTCCGGAACGACTGCAGTCGTGGCACCGGAGGTCGGCTTGAGACCAGCTCCCTTGGTTGTCTTGGCTGGGCGTGTGGATTCGGCGGCGGCGGCGGGACGCTTGAGTTTCTTCTGTGCTTCGAGCGCTTCTTGGGCTTGTTTCCGCTCTGTAGAACACTCGTAGTTAGCATCGGCTTGTACATTCCATACCGATCGGGAAGTCCATTTAACACACCTTTCTCGGCCATGCGCCTGCGCTTGTGAGCCTCTAGCTCGTCGCTGCCGCCTTCGCGCTGGACCGTCGCATCACTTCTTGTCTTTGCGTAATCCAAGACCATAGGCTTATCGAAGATGTCGAAGCCATTGATTTCCTCAATAGCGCGGGTAGCGGAGACGACGTTGTCAAAGACGACAAAGGCCTGGCCCTTTGCCTTGAGATTCCTCTTTGCGATGATTTCTAGAATGGTGCCATATTCCGAAAAAATCTCCTCCAAAGCCTCTTTCAACTGCTCAAGCTTGATTCTCTCATCTAGATTCTTGACCTAATCATTTCGCAAAGCCGTTAGTATGTGAGTGCTCAAGCGGGACCGGAACGCTGATTAGCAGGGGAGGGACAAGATGCGCACATATACTCTGCGAACAGTGGTTAGCATGGATCTTGGCAGATGATGAATGAGTACTCACGTTGAATTGGCAGGAATGCCAGCTGCAGAGACGGTCGCCATTGTTGCGACAGTTGGAGCTCTGGGAGACGGCGATGTTGAGCTTCCGCTTGACCAGAGGTGGGTGAGAGATGAGGTTGAGGGGGAGTTTTGGGACATAAGGCACTAGTGTGATATTCTTTTACACTAGTAGCATCATTGGTCTAGTGGTAGAATTCGTCGTTGCCATCGACGAGGCCCGTGTTCGATTCACGGATGATGCACATTTCTTTTTTCCCTTTTTTTAATTTCTCTCTCCCGGTTTCTTATTTTTTTTACTAGGCTTTGTTGCAAATCTTGTAAATTAAATTTATTCCGGTATATAAATTCATACATCGTTAATTGTCAAATTCGTAGATCAATATCTCCCGCATTCACATTCTATACCCTCTTCAACTTCCGTGTCAAGGGGATTGGCGGTCATCAATCCTGTCAAACGCTTCAAGTGCGGGTTGTTTAATCACGTCCTCGGTACCCTTCGGTCGTGAATGATGGAGAGATTTCGTTGAGGATTGACCCCGTACCTCACTCGCAGAAGACCGATGAACAAGTGGACGAATGGATGGTAAACAGGAAGCAATTATCGTGACAGAAGCTTCTGTGAGACTCCATATGAGTGCAGTCGGAATAGTATCTAACAGATCACGATATCCATCAGAAGTCCCTGGAGAATATTTAGTAATCCATCACTCTTGCGGGCTGATATGAAGCATACCATAGGTGAAGTATAACAATACCACCATTCGCGTGATACCAATAGCAGTTGATAGCGAGCCTAGTAAGAACACCAGAAGCACACAGATCTTCTTGGAGATTGTGAGCTGCAGCTGCCATACCAACGGTACGGGGAACAGCAGGAGAAGTATATCAGTGACCACATCTGCGATGGCATAGCCAGAACACGAGATCTCGGCTTGGATGCGTTAAGTCTTCGAAAGCCGATTTCGCTATCACGACACAGACAGAACCACACCAGGAACTAACCAATCAACAACCCTCTGACATGGCTGGGTGCAGATGCCAAGAGACTCACCCGACTCTCACCCTGTCTGAAGTGATGTGTAGCATAGTGGGCGCTACGTATATGCGAATACTGAATATTTTATGCTCTCCCCACTGGTTTGGAATTCTGTAATCAGTGGTCTGAGCCACTATCGCCGACCGTAAATGCCCTTTGAATGTCAAAAAGTAAACCAGAATTAGATTGAGTCCACGGGTCTATGGTGCTAGTTTAATCATAGGATTGATAATACAACGCCCCGGCCCCAGTTGAAATCGACTCGTCAATCATATAAGAGATAATCCTGCCCAAGGAGTTAGCAAATGTCCTAAAGGTGTCGTTTTAGTTGTGGGTTACATACGATTCTGTTTGCTGACTGCCATCGTATGGTTCATGAGACTCGAGGCCACGGAATACCTTCAAAGTAGGATATGCACGAATGTCAAAGTCGTCACATAGTCTTCCCTCCCGTGTGCAGTCCACCTTGACCAGGGGAATCTTGTCATTTTTCAGCTCCGCAGCCGCAGCCTCAAACTTAGGGGCCAACATTTTGGAGTATCGACACCACGGTGCGTAGAAATTAGCCAAAACCAAGTCATGCTCCTCCATGAAATCGTAAAATGTCTCCTCGGTCAAAGATACGGCATTTGTGTCGGTTGTACGGGTAGCAAACACAGCCGTCGTGGCTCCGAGCAGGCTCAGATATAAGGTGTGAACGACCGCATGATGAAACACGGTGATACAGAAAATAGGCAGCGCTGGAAAACTACCGATATTTCAGAAGGGTGAGCTTTAAAGGACTCGGCGGAAACAGACGCAGAAGATCCGCTAAGCCTTATGAAAGAGATTGTGGAAGGAAAGAGAACTGGAAGATAGGAACTGGAGTTTAGGCTCCAGGGCCCTTTCAGTTAGTGCGGCTGAATCTTGGCTGTACTGTTTTTAGGTTCTCTCTGTGCTTCGCCACCTGCTTCGCCCGATAGGCATCGATGTAAACGGGCGCCAATCATGAAATTCCACAATTCACAGCTTATATTCCTGGGCAGCTAAGATAGGAAAGCCCCACCCGGCAGAGGAAATCAAGTACGTATAGCCACAGAAGTACAGCATGCCGGGGCTATTGCGGGCCGTTCTCGGCCCGCTTACAGGTACCTTGGATTGTGCATTTGCTAGAAACAGGATTGAGAAGCATTTTTCGAGAGTGATTTGGGCGCATTGGGGGTTCTTCATAGGCAGTTATAGGATCCTATATAGTCGGGTAGGGTTGTGTACAATTTAATATGATTAACTTTAAGCAAACCGCTGCAGTAGAATACATTGAAGGCAGAGATAACTTAAGCTAAAAAGCCGCTAACGAATGAGCCATGTCGAATGTCTTAGGGGGGTGTGGCTTTAGACCAACTATATGGACACCCATCTTAGGGGTCACGTTTGGACTGAGGAACATTGTTTGTGATCGAGGATCTCGTCTAAGAACCGAGATCTCGTTCGTTAATTGTTTCCGCAGTTTACTGGGGCTCTGTTCTCTGCCTTGGTACCCCGTACTTCCATATAAATCAGCCGACATATTCCTCAAGCAGCATCCCCCTCCACACACTTAGCCAAACCACCAACCACCAACCACCGCGATGCAGATCGCATTCCTCTTGTCCCTTACAGCCCTGGCCAGCATCAGCACCGCCCAATCGGCAGGCTGCAACAAAAATATACCCTCCAAATTCCCAACCCCAGGAACAAGCACAAGCCTCAAACTTCCAGGCTCAGACCGCCAATACCGACTGTACATCCCAGCTAACTATGAGAAAAACACGCCAACAGCACTCTACTTCTCCTTCCACGGCGCCAGCCGCGACATGCTAGAAGAGGAAGACCTCTCACAATTCTCCAACCCAAAATTCAACCCCAACGGAATCGCCATCTACCCAGACAGCAAGAATGGATACTGGCTCTCCAATCCAAACGCAGACACGTCACGCCCCAATGATCTGGATTTCACAAACGATCTCCTAACCCACATGGAGGAGAAGCTCTGCGTCGACACGAGCAGAGTTTACTCAGCGGGCAAGTCAAATGGCGGTGGTTTCACCGGCGTAATCGCCTGCAATGCCACCGTCGGAAGCCGATTTGCTGCCTTCGCAGCTGTCAGTGGTGCATGGTATGACACCGACGACATTGAAGGTGTGGGTCCTTGTGCGCCCGCTGAGCGTGAGGAGGGATATCCTTTCCTTGAGTTCCATGGCACGACAGATACCACTGCGCCTATTGATGGGAACACGAAAAGTATTCCAAAATTGCCGGTCATTGATATCCTGCAAGGCTGGGCGAATCGGAATGGTTGTGCTGAGAAGGCTCGGTGGGCTAGGAATGAGACGGCCTTTGAGAACCCGTTTGTTAAGCATGCTTCTTGGGATTGTGGTGGCAAGTCAGGTATTGTGCAACATTATCGTGAGGGCGAGAATGGTCATTGTTGGCCTAGCACTGTTGGCAATGATGACTATGACCGTCTGGCTAGTCAGTGTCCACTCGGCAGGTACGTGTTCAATGCTACTGAGTACATTTTTGACTTCTTTGCTGGGTATCGACTGGGTGCGTGAGTGTATTTCTATTTCATTATTACTACTGGGCTCTAGATTACTGATTATTCTTAGTGTCGACAGTGAGTAGAGACAATCTGTGAGAGAGATGGCAGTGTACAATGGAATGGGGATATATTCTCGAATACATATACGTTTACATGTCTATGCATAGTATGACACTAGAATCAAACCACGAATACTTTTGATTTTCAAAGATCTATTCAGAAGGCAGGCTCAGAGGAACTCCTACTTGACAAAACCCTACTCCCAATATTCCTCGGGTAAGTGTCTACATCCTCGCTCGTCGTCACTTCAATACCAGCCATATGAATTTCGTAGTCAGCAGGGGAACTCTTGGCCGATGCCAACGAGGGTCCATAATAGCTGGAAAGCTGATGTGTGTCGTCATCATCGGTATCTTTGCGACTAGATTTTCCGAGAGGTAAAGCTCAGCAGGGGTCGAAGGGAGGGTAGACAAGCTTTGGATTTCCATCAGCATCGCTTATTGTCACAAGAAAAGAAAAAGAAACTTACCAGACACAATGCCAATATTAGTCTCCACGGCTGTCCACGTGGAAGGCCCAATGAAGACTCACGTAACATCTTAAGATGGGGTTTTATATGATTCCAACATGACCACCAATCGGAGAATTGACATGATGCAAATACTGCTCCAATTAGCATTTATCCGAATCGGCACACAATGGTGGATACGTAGAAGCCTCCCACTGCAAAAGCACAAGTTAGCGCAATCTTTGCGACTGTGTTTCGCTGGATCCTCCACACATACGGTAAGGGCAGAATCAACAGGGTGAAGTCTGCGATGATATTCGGGACTGCGTTCCCGATGAAAAAGCTGTTGATGTCCACACCACAGTGCGATTTAATGGAGCAATCCCAAAGAGTCTGGATAGGCACGCATTGGAAAACGGTTGTCAGGATCTAGGATCATTAGACAGACTGTTAGATTAAACTACCTCGGGGGAGAGCAGGCTTCGAGTACCACACCAAGTCCCCACGCCGTGATCACGGATGCCAGGATATAGATTGGAATATGTATGTTGGAGCTGCTGAAGATACGCCAGAAAAATAGCAGGACCGAGTACTTCGTCAAACAGAAAGAGAGGGTATATAAAATCTCGCAGACAAATAGGTTGATATAGAAGTGCGATACACCCAGTATCCCCCATTTATAGATATGGGTGCCGACACCACGATGGATCCAGATTATCATGTCGATGAAGTTGCCCGTAGCCATAGCCTATCTAGGATCAGCATTAGGGTCACAAAAAAACAAGATCCCTGCTATGTAAATATCCAGGTGGAAAATGAGAATCCATACCAGCGCAACACAGATGATATAGTCATCCCACCATAATCCAGCCTTGGAGACACCCAATCGACAGTACAGCCGCAGTGCTACGATGATTACCGCTAGAACATACATAGGTGAAGGAATAAGTCTCATACAGCCGAGACTGATGGGACGCATTGAGATCTATGCCGGGTGGAGGGGTGAGATCCATAGTACAGAATTAAGGCTCATGTAGAACAAAGAAACCATGGAGGCTGGCTTTTAATATGGCCTATTGCATAGTTGAAACCCCCCAGGATACTTGATTACGCCGGCTGATATTCATCTTCCGGCCCCGGACCCATGCTCAATTTCTTGTCGCCATGTCCAATCATGACTACCACGACTTAGCCAGGTCTATGCATGCACTATATGCACGGCTGGCGAACCCCTGCAAATGGAAATGAAACAGCTCGGTAGCGATAGTGGTAGCGTCGCTATTGTCGAGTAGTGTAATGTATATTAATGTATATTGGGCTTGGATCTGCTGGTCCTCCATTCCCCAAAACATTTATACTCTCTCAAACATTATGACCACTATCTTATTTGTTCCCGGTGCTTGGCTCACTCAGCTATTTTATCGGCCTTTCCTCCAAGCTCTCACGGGAGTCGGCTACGATGTCCGCTACGCTGGCTATCCCTCTTTAGATCCCAAGGAACCATACGGCATCGATTGTCAAGCCGATACCGATGCCATTGGCGCCATTCTCCGCCCCCTGGTGGAAGATGAGGGCAAAGATGTCCTGCTCTTTATGCATTCTTACGCTGGAATGCCTGGAGCGGCGGCGGCTACCGGACTAGCCAAGTCACAGCGGACTCAAGATGGCAAAGCGGGCGGCGTTGTCGGATTGTTGTTTCTGGGGGCGTTCGTCGTTGCCGAAGGCTCCAGCTGTGCTGGCCTGATGGGCGGAAACCTGCCCCCTTGGATTTTAGTCGATCAGGTAGGACCCTCAACTGCTAGGAGCAATCATTGTCTAACTCGTTCTAGCCATCAGCGAATCTCAATATCGCAGATGACTCTATCGCCAACTTTGCCGCGGATGTTGACTCGGCGTTGGCCCAGTCCATGGTGACAGAGCTGAAACCGCATGCCACCTTGCCCTTCAATTCGCCTCAGCCACATCCGGCCTGGGCGGACGAGGCTTTCCAGGGGCGTTTGGCCTTTATTGTCACGACCGAGGATCGTGCGGTGCCGAAAGAGGCGCAATTCGGTATGATGGCTGCCACGCAGAAACCGTGGATTGTCAAGGAAATCGCGTCTAGTCACTGCGGACCGTTCCTGAATCAGATTGATGAGACCCTGCGACTGATACGGGAGATCATTGGTCAATTTCCACAGAGTTAGAAACACAAACCTATATGGGTGATTGCAAGGAAGAAAATATGCGGACTTTGACGGCCAAAGCTTGATAGATTGCCTATGTAGATCAATGTAGATCAAGTATAGTCAAGACACTCGGGTAATTACAAAGTTAACACCGGTATGATCCTCGGGCATCCATTCCAAATCCTCATTCTGCATAGCCCAATCCTGAAGGTATAGTATAGTGGGTGATAGATACGATATCCTTTCTTTATTCGGTATACTCTTTGATGGGTTTAGCCCTGTAAGTGCCTTAGAC